GGTATCTTGGTTCAAAAAGTTAATGCTTTCTATGATTCTGTCATAAACCAAATCAGATGAGAACTAAATCAAATTCAATGTTTACCTTATGGAGAAATCTGATTTGGTTCTCATTCAATTCAGTTTGTGACCAGAATTGTGGAAAGAACTAAGTTTGTAAACTGAGGTACCAGTGTGTCAATTTTGAAACTGGTTAAAAGGTAAAATATTTTACACAAATTAGTAGAAAAATATACTAAAATAAGATGTATTTGAATTGTACAGGAATTCAAAATTTTTATCAGAAAATTCAAAAACAAGAAAAATTTTGATTTGAAGAATTCTCATGTGTTATTAGAACAGCCAGCCTATAGCTGATGTGGCTACCAGCACCACAAAACATCAATGCCATACAGAACAGAATTATTCTGTAGAGCTTTAGATTGTTACCTGAGCTATACGTACTAGAAGTTGCTACCCAATCTCCTCAACCCCACTTCTCCAGTAGCTGCACTTTCAAGTGAAAGAGTAGATTTTTCCTAGGAGCCCTTAACAAGCTTCTTACAACCAGAGGCTACTTGACCATGGGGCACTAGCAATTTAAGGCCATCCTGCTTGGCCACTTCTGATGGCTGAGGTGATCAATATATTATGGCATAGTAGTAAACATTTTATTGTACAATATTTGGAAAGTTTGGCTCTTAGTCTGCTTCATTTATCTTCTACAATTTATTATCATCTAACCTAAGTACATATATCAGTAACATGTAGCATTGATAAGATCAGAGTCTTCATACTTTGGATCACTGTAGTATGTCCTGTGTCTAGCAAATAATCATCATGATGAAAGCACTTCATGGATAGACACTAGATGAATAACTATGCTATAATTTCTTTTAGGTCTACAATTTATTTTCCTTTTTTATCAATACCTACTTTACTCTTTAGCTCATGGTAGGAATGAAGGAGAAAACAGTGTCCCAGATTATAGAGGTTCTTGTAGGGTAGGTTATATTACTTAATTATATTATTATAATTACTTATATAATATTACTGAAATATATTGATAAGCTGCTGAAATGTTAGAATTACTATAATATTTTGATTTTTGAATATAAAATTCTTGCTCCTATTTCTTTTATATCTCTATTCTCCTACACATGCAATCTTAACATTCCTAAGTGATGCAACATTTAAACTGGGGTATCTCCTTATTTGCCAAAACCTGCCAATTTTAATTTCAGCTAGCTAGATGTATCTTATTCTTGTTTCTCACTGAATTAGGACCTTGGTTAACTACAGAATGGGCAATTGCAGTTGGTAAACTCGTATATTTGTCTTTGGAATATAGATAATTTAAGTTATTGTTTGCCTATGGCCAATTCATGGTATAATATTGATTATTCTAATTAACTAAACAAATACTTGTAATAAATACCTCTTTGATTAAAGAAAATTTTATAATTCTTTTTTAAAAGTACAGTACAACTTATTACTTTCTACACCTATTCATTAAACTTTGACATTTAATATTGTGAGATAAGCAAAGTTGTCCTAAATAGAAGCTTTAAATGTAAAGAATTATTTGCAAAATTACAACAAAGAATTAACATTCTTCAACCAAATTTACTCACAACAAAAGGTTCTCACACTCGTATCATCATTCTCTCTATAGATAATTCTGGACATGTGTGAATAAATTACAATTTATTTTTCTTTTTTAGGGGATACTGGGGATTTAGCTTTGAACTGTCACACTGAACTACACCAAAAGCCCATTTCATTTATTTATTTTTGATACAAGATTTCACCAAGTTGCCCTAGCTGGGCTCAAATTTGAGATCCTCTTGCCTCAGACTCTCAGAGTGATGAGATTACAGGTCTGTGTCACCAGGTTTAGCTTTTTCGCCCTTTTTAACTCCAAAATATTTATTTCATGATGCGTTTCTTAAGATGAAGGGCTTTTTCACCCAACTGTAGTAAATATAAATATTTGAATATTTAATACTGATATAATACTAATTGTATTTTAACATAAATAAAAGATAGTTATTAAAATGTTATATTATGTATTTTATTTATAATTTTCAAATTTTCCCAACAAATGTTCTTAGATTTTTTAAAGACCCCAGCCCAGTACTAATTTTAGGTTACACATTACATTTATTGATCCTTTTTTTTTTTTTTTTTTTTGT